AGCTCCGCGGCCCGGGCCTGCTTGCGGGCCTCCGCCGCCCCCGAGCCCACCCACGTGTGCTGTGGGGCCCGCGCGCGGCCTCGGAGGAGAAAGGCTGTCAGGTGGTCGCGGGCCGCGGCGGAGCGCGCGCGGGCCGGGTACCCAAGCGTGGCGGGTTTAAGAAAGGATGTCTGGTAATCGTGGGTTTTTTGTGTGTTTTTTTTTTTTTTTCCTCCAGCAACGAAGGTTTTGGGAACAGTAAAATGGTTCAATGTAAGAAACGGATATGGTTTCATCAACAGGTGAGATGACCGCCACCGTAGTCTCCGTCCTATCTTTTGCATGCTCTGCTCCGTGGGTAGGCTCTGCGGACTTGGAAGGGTGTAAGCATGTGTAGCTTGTTATTTCTTGGTAGTGAGATTTTGCTTTCCTTGAAGACTGAAGGGATTAAGAATTTAGACAATCTATAGAGATGGTCTTTGTTTTGCAGCTAAATATTAATCTAAAACCAATTTGATAGTTGTCTTAGGTACGGAGCAATTTATAAAGGCAAGTGCAGTGAGTGAGCCAACTCTTAACAGGGCAAACTGAGGAAACTGGGACCTAGTCTGATTCTCAGGCGCATTTTTATCCTTGTCACCCTTTTATACGTTATTGAAATTGATAGTGAAAAACGTGATGTGACCCACTGATAAGTGTATATATAGGTTATTTCTAACACGTTAACCTTTAGAGGTAACAAGATTTGATAGTGCAAGATTTGTCATCTTGACTGTTAAGGTTAGAGCGCCTTTGTTTAACGTTTCAATGTATGCTGTCTTGAATGCTTTGGATAAATTTCCCATTAGGACTACAGTAGTTTTTATTTGTTCCTGCAGTAGCATCTGGAAGAAATTGCCCCTTTCTCCTTCTCAGTTTTTATTTCTCATATTTTTTTGTTCCTATCTTTAGGATTAGTCCTTAGAATCGTTTGTAGCAATAGTAATGGTAACGTGCAGTTTTACACACTGTACTCTTCTTCATGGTCTCCCTTGTGAGCCGGGCATCATTTTCAAGATGGCTGCCAAGCAAGGCTACTCGTGCAGTTGCATATGGGTGTAGAGCATGATGTGTGCTCATAGCATATTGGCCTTACAGGTAGCATAGTGTCATCTTGGTGTTTTCTTAAATTCTTACTTTAGAAGGCATTAAACAACCAGATGTTTTAAAAGAACACCTAAGAGTAAGAAATAATGCTGAATGCATGTGAAATAGACACTACTGCAAGAAACCTAGTGGGCAAGATCAAGCTTAAAGACAGACCTAATTGGCTGATGAAAACCTTTCATTACTCAACCATGAAGTAATTGTGGAAATGTTCAAAGCAGAAGAGATTGTAAGCATTTGATGGTCTGTTTTCCACGTTTGCAATTGTGGGGAAACATTGTTTCTTCCAAAATCTTTGGGAATTTTCCATCTACTCTTAACACTGTTTTTGTGACATGCCAAGGTTACATTTTTCATCAGTTTTTTAATAATGGGTTACTAGTGATGAAGGAAGGGAATGCGTGGGTGCTTATATTTGACCACTTCTTAGTTGATCTCTGAATGTTAGCATTTCCCTCTGATTCTCTCACTGTCCTAACCCTTAAACCAATAGTTTTCAAATTAAAGTAGGCTTATTATCCTGGAAGGTTGTTAAAAAAAATACAAATTCCTGAGTTCTTCCCCTTCCCAGCCTGGATTCTTTGGGTCAGGGGTACATTTTTAACAAGAATTCCAGGTGATTATGTCTGGTGGGCCATACCTTGAAAAACACTGCCTTTAATCCTTTACCCAATGTAATGCTGGTGTACACATCAGAAGGGACTGTAATTTGCAGCTTTTCTGTGGTAAGAGTGTAGTTTGTGTGTGCTTTAGATATTGTACCATGTGCCTTATGTTTTGCTGCATTTTGTTAAATGGACAGAGGTTATGATTTTTGAAGTGAACAATTGATAATCTAAAAGTAGTTTATTTACATACTCTAAATTATTTTATGAGATGCCATTCCTTGATTTTCTCTTTTCTAACTTGGAATCAACCCTATTGGTTGTCCTCCAGGGCAAGTTAAATGTAAATTGACTTTTGATGATCCTTTGGACTGTCCTAACTTCAACTATTTTGTCAAGTTAACTGGTTTAAATGTGCTTTGTGTTTCTAAACTGGTTATTTCAGTGATTTTAAGATTTTCAAGTCACTGTAAAATGTGACTACAATTAAGTCCAGGAGAGGTTTGCCTTGATTAAGGGAAAATGTGGGTCTTAAAAAACTATAATCTGGTAGTTTGCAAGTTGGTTGGGTGTGTAGGCACTTGGCTCTTGGTGGGGGTTTGGGGGGAAGCAGACACATGCTGCTTCTGTAGAAAGAAGAGGATGTAGTGCTTGAGATGATTGCTGTGACTATAATTTTAACCTTGGAGTTCTCTGAATTATATTATGGTCCTTAAGATTTTTGTAATGAAAACAGAAGATGATTTTTATATAAACTTTGATTTTAAAGAAACGTATTTTCGTTGTAAATATTTTGATCTAAATTACTACCTGTGAAAATAATGTAGCCTTATCAGAATTATTTTTTAAAGGATTTTCTTCTGATGTTTTCTTGGGTAAAAGGTGCTAAGTAAGAGTGTAGAGTTTAGAACATCAAACATTTTGGCTACAGAATCTAAGAATTCTGACAGATTCATGGTTAGTCCTTCAGTATGCTGTGTCTTGAAAACAGTAATTGGATTATGTTACTAGAGGGGTTTATTAACACCCCCCATTTCATTTTATTATGAAAAGCTTCACTCAAAACTGTTGAAGATGTCATTAGAAGGATGCCACAGGGGTCAGTGGTTTCAGGGTTTGGTTCTCTGCTTTTTAAGTCTGGGAACCTGATTTTGTCTTTTGCTTCCTTTTGAGGATAATCCATGCTCATCAAATTTCGTGAAAAGTTGGCATGAATCAGTAACAGTTTTAACAGTTTTTCATTGGGACATGCGTCTTTCATAGTGACCACATAGGAATACTTCTCTTTTCTCCAGAGTACTTAGAGTTTTGGGGTGGGCAGGGAATTTGGAGCAAAGAGAATCCAATAGGGCAGAGGACATAGACTGGTGACCTACTAACTGAATCTACCCCCAGATGTTTTGTTTGGATAACACAGTATCTTAGAAAGAATTGGAATGAATTGTTGCTGTTTAAAATTAGGGAGATAATCTCCAAAATGTTCAGATTACCATCTTTTTAAGATCTGAATTTTAGCTTTGGGACCTGAAGTCCCATGTAAATAAAATCAGATGGCCACGAGTATTATTGCCATCTTTCAATGGGGCATACATTCTCTTATTTGCCATCTTTCAATGGGGCATACATTCTCTTATTTACCACAGTATATCAGGTCTGGTTTTCTCCTGTTGTTGACCTCCCTGCCTGCTCTTCCTGCCTGGCCTGTGCATTTGAGTTTATTATGCATGGTCCAAGAAAAGGTATAATAAATTAAGCCACGGAAGGGTTTAGCTATCTTTAGGAAAAATATTTAGTTGTGGCTGTCAGATTTAGTCTCTTTTGGGGATTCCCTGTGTATGTAACTGATGAAGGTGACTTCCTGGACACAGTGGTGACACATAAAAAAATAGCTAATGTTTCTCAAGCGCTTACACTAGACATTATTGTAAATGCTTTACGTGAACTAGGCCGTTTAATCCTCAAAATCTTTGAGGTGTCAATACTATACTGAGGCACAGAGAAGTTGAGTAACTTGCCTCGGGAAGCGTGGGAAGTGGCAGAGCTAAGGTTTGAACTCCCATTTTCTGCCTTGGAAGTTTGTTCACTAGCTGCTGTTACACTGTCCCTGAGAGTAGGCCCTGGTCCTCTTCAGTTTGGTTGGTGTCCACGGTTACAGATATTTTCTTAGGGTGGCTATTCTTTAGCTATCAAAAGACTTTTCCTAAATGATACCTAGCAGTCACTGGAGCTCCTGTGTGCTGACTTATTAGTTCCCCAGATTTGAAAAACTTTGCTTTTTGCACTGCCTATTACGTGTAGTTAGGTAGTGCTGTAACAGAGTTTAGTGTGCAGATTTGCTTTATAAATTAAAAGGACTTCCTTAATATAGCTAATGCTGGGATGCAATTGAGCTATTAAAGGAGAGAGCCTTTGACCCTTATCTCACTTGTGAATCTTTTAATTTTGTTTTTGTGTGACCTGCAAGCTAAGAATGGAATTTCTTTTTAAGGGTTGTTTAAATAAGAATATGTGACAGACATGGCCTAAAATATTTACTCCCTGGGTCTTAGTTTTAAAAATTTGTAGACCTGTCGGAGAGTGATTGCCAAGTCTCCTGGACTATTAAATTAAAATCAGACCGAACTTGATCACAAATGGTAAGGTTATCTCTAAATTATAGAAGGCATGGATGGTCTATAACATAATTGACTAAATGCTGTGGCACTAGGGAAGACTTGGTAGTGTGCTATTAAGGAAGGATGGGTGGGTGAAAGCATAAAAAAATGATACCTAAGTAGTCCCCAAGTCACGGTGTATCATTGGCAGTCTTGAAAAGCACTGTTATTGGTTGTTGGTTTGGGTAGGGGTTGTTTTTGTTTTGATTCCAGAACTGAGGCTCTTCAGGCAGTGACTTCCATACAAGGCACTTTAGGATTAATTTGCATGCTGGTTGTGTTAGCTACTGATCTTAAGTTGGCCAGAAGTCATCCTTGTTGACCAAGTCACTGATATGTAAAAGCTTTTCATCTTGAAATCTGGAGTAGAGAACTAGCTTACTTACCTTCTGTTTTCCAAGTATTGGGGCTGTTATTGCTGTTTTCCACCCTTCAGTCTTAGCCCTTGGAAGCCTCTACAGTCCAGCTCACTGAGGCAGAATGATAGAAAGTAATGTGGGAAATAGTGTGCCTGCTGGCCATAAGAAGTGTTTAATAGAAAACAAGTAAAAAGATAAGTAGGGTTTATTATGGCCATGTGCAGAACTTGGGAATTGGTGTCTGGATGCTTTGGGTTATGGAGTATATATGGATGCTAAATCCTAGAGGTTTTTATGACTTAGAATTAATAATTTGTGCAGTTGGGCAATTTAAGCTGTTAAAAGGGCTTGGTGTGGTTCTGCAACAAGATAATAGCATAAGAGCATTTAGTTATGGGTAGGTGAGCTTATATGTTAGGTTTCACTTAAGGCAGTGCTGTGGTCTGGCAAAAAAAGGTTTCCTAAAATTTTAGGACATTTTGAGACACTTTAATCTGGATAAATTTAGTAGTATAGGAGTTTAGTGTTGGCTACACTT